TACTTCTTCCTCTGGTGGTACTGCTTCATTTTTCCAATATTGCGCGAAGATTATTCTTGCTGCTGTTGTGACGTGTAAAGCCAAATATAAACTTTGTTTATTAGTCTTTTCTGGCATTATATCTAGTAAAAAAAGTTCAGGTTTAAATTCCACATGTTCTCCTGCTTTTCTTCTGCCTCCAAAATTATGATTGGTTTTGTACCTGGAGAATATCAACAAAATAAAAATATTTTATGATACTTCATATATTATAAAATGAATATATACTATTTTGCACCTAAGACTGATCTGCACTTGACAATGAAATTTATTTGAGTTCAATTCACTCAACATCACTACTAGTGATAAATTATAAAGGTATCCAAGTGAACAGACAAGCAGGTTTAGAGGTCCTGCACATATTATTTAAGGAGTTGATTCTGTACACTTATACATATTCAACATATTTAGAGAGGTCAAAAGCCAGATATTTCATGATATCAGTTACAACCATGTAATTCAAATAGATACACGACAAATAAAGTGATTTGGGAGATAGTGATCTGTTTTTTTAAAGGAGAAATATTCTTATTTATTACAATTCCTCATAAACTAGAAATTGTAATGTAACATACTAACTACTCTACTCTACTACTACTCTACTCTACACTACACTACACCACACTACACTAAATTTCCTGTCTATTTAGAATCAGATAAACAAGGCAGTGCTGAAGAGAAAAAGGTGCTTAATTTTATGTCTTGCAAGCCATAGGCAAAGAGAAGGCAAGTTGTTTCTGAAATCTTTTGTCACTGATCTGCCTTCAACTGCCACGTATGTTAAGAAGTTCCCATTGTAATTATCTTGCTGGCTCTGTTATTTGGTGCTCTTTAAGTAATGAAATGGTTGTTTTCTTAAAAACCTTGAGGCCAGCATATCTAAGTTTAAACAGCTGCCACGTTGCAAGTATACTGAGAGGTGGTTCTAGTTTTTAAACTTTTCCAGATGTTTTTGTTTCAGCAGGACAAGTTTCAGCAGCAGCAGCCTCATCTCAATGTCTCTTAACCCCAAAAGGCAAAGCTAATCCACTCTAGAAAACATTCAGCATTAGTGAGGAAGGCAATATAAATGTAAGACTGGAAATAGGTGGAGGAGCACCCGTAATATTCACCACAGCATCTTTTTTATTTTGCTTTTTTATTGTGTTTATTCCTATGTAGTAGAAAAACAGCTTTGCATGCAGAAACACAGCAAAATGTTTATTTTTCATAGTTTATTTATTAAAAAAGTTTATTTTTGCCTCCTTAGGAAAAGTTTAAATTTTTACATGTTGTTTACTGCTAAAAAAAACAGTGCAAACATTAAAAAAAAAAACCCTCAGCATCTATAGGAAATTTCTTAATTCACCAGATTTCTTCATACTCTTTGAGAATAGGTTAAACTGAACCCACACTTTCAACTGGACCTTACTTCAACAATAATGATGGAACTCCATTCTCCACTGCATCTAGAAGTCACTGAATCACAAAACAATAGATGAGAAAACATGGAAGAAATTGCTGCTGTTGGCTCAACATACATAGCAACATTTCCTGACCCAAAATATGTCTTGATTAGCAGAACATCTAACTGATAATTTAGCTGATTCTTCAAACCAGTTTGTGTGCATTTTTAAATACTAACTGATATTGCTTTCTCTTAAGATTCAGTTCAAGTACAATTTTGTTGTATCTGGATATGGAAGGAAAAGGAAATCATGAAGATTTCATTTATTTCACAAAGTAGATGAAATACTCATTCTATTAACAGAGTAGCATTTCGGACTTAGCTTTTAGAACAGAACAGAATCGAACAGAATCTTGGAGATCTTCTAGGCCAGCGCCCTGCTTGAGCAGGAGAACCTATACCATCTCAGACAATTTCTTTGATGTTTTCAAATATGAAGCATACCATAGTGACTTTTCCAACTTATGCATATCTAAGCTTCATTAAGCTTAGTGGGACATTCTCCAAGATAGTTACATAAGATGCATTTTTAATTCATTTGATAGCTTTATATCCTGCCTTTCATGAGGAACATATATAGTGCTTCCTCTTCCCATTTTTCCCTATAGTAACCTAATAATGTAACTTGGGCTTAGAGAGTACAGGTAGTCCTCAGCTTAGAACCAGTGATTTAGTGATCATTCAAAGTTACAATGGCACTTGATTTTCAAACTTATGACATTGAAAAATCCCCATGGACACATGATTAAAATTTGGACACTTGACAACTGGCTCATATTTATGACAGTTGCAGTATCCTGGAAGGCTGATTCAACCTTCAGCCGGTCAGGATCAAACTCCTGACAATGGGCAGAGTTAGCCTGCAATTCTACATCACACTGGAGATGACTGACTCCTCCCTCATGCAGATCCTATTTCCTTCCTCTCCAACTTTTAATTGTAAATTATTGCTGTTATGGTTGTTTATTGTATGGTTATTTATTGTTTTAACATTTTATTGATTTCTGATGTTTGCAAGGCAGCCAGAATTGCAGAGAGATAGGTGGTGAGATAGGTGGCAAATACAATCAGATGATAGATAGATAGATAGATAGATAGATAGATAGATAGATAGATAGATAGATAGATAGATAGATAGATAGATAGATAGATAGATAGATAGATAGATAGATAGATAGATAGATAGATAGATAGATTAATTATAGGGTGCATGTACGCAAGTCCCTTTAATCCTGGTCACCTAGGAAGACCTTGGAACCCTACCTTTCCATAGCAGACCCAGCCTGTAGTACACTCCCAAGATCTGGCAAGCACCTACCTCTTAGCCCTCCAGAAAAAAGCTGGTTCTTCCTTCAATCATTGGATAAAATAAGGCAAGAGAGCAGTAATTGTAATCATTGATGATTGAATGCTATTTTGGGAGCCAGGATTTCTTTTCTGGACATTGGGGTTTTCTTGTGTGTGTGTGTGTGTGTATGTGTATGTGTCACTTGTTTTTAATTATTGTTTTGTGAACTATCTAGAGTTCTGACACCTAAGATGGGCGACCATGCAATTCTATAAAACAAAACAAAAGAAAATGTTGTTAATCACCAACAAACAAAAATAAACAAGCCAGCTAACTATACTTTGTCACCCTTTTTCATTCACCCTTTATATTGTAAATTGTGAAGCTGTCCCACTTCTTGTATTTTATTATAATTTTAATGTGATTTTACATATGTATTCATATATTTATGTTCATTTTGATGTTGTAAGCCACTCAGAATCGCCTGCAATATTGCATAGTAGGCAAAATCCTTCTGAAAATCTCCTGGTATTTCTAAAAGTAGAATTACTCAGAAGAGAGAGCTTGCTAATTAGAAAAGCTTCTTTTGTATTCAAGAAGAAAGCATGGAGATAACACAGAATAACTGTTCTATATTAAAACTTCTAAATTGCAATTTACTAATAAAAAAGTACACCTACAATGGATTAGATTAATTTAGAATAGATTAGTTGTTCCCCACATCCTTTCCACTATCCAAAATACGATTAGTGTATTTAAGACTACTGAAATAAATGAGCTTAAATTGTATTTTATATTGCTGTTGTTGTAGCTAATACACATCTTTACACTTTGGATAGATTCATACAAAATTCATATTCCAAGGATGGAAGGAATTTAATCCAAAGAGCTGCTGCCACAAATCACAGCCCTGGTCAAGTGCCTTTTCATTATACTTTCTGTTCGGGTACCACAGCCTGAGCCTGTCATAGGTGGTTTCTGGACAGGAATTCCAAAATATGCACCAAAATGGTATCAAGATGACGGGGGATCTGAAGATCAGGGGTGCCCTGGTCTTCCCATGGGGTTAATATGGAGGAGCGTCTCCACTCAGTTTGTAACCCTCTGGTACATACTTGGGTCAAAAGATCAAAGCAACTTTGTATCATGGGGTTTATTATTGTGTGTTTGTTATCACAAATACATGGGATAGTAGTAAGGCCTGCACTAAGAGAAGGAAGAAATTCAACCCAAGGCGTAGGGGAGAAAATAGAATTGAAAAACTTGTAGTCTGTTCATGTTGCATCTATGAATACATATCTGGGGATGTGAAAAGGAGTAATTCTGATATTGGAAAAAAACTTTGAGGAACTGACAAACATTTTTTATTTGTCTATTGGTGGAAAACCTACACCACCAACTTGTGTAGTACAGCTATTTCTATAAACTGAATTTGTGACAATATTGTGCTTTGATTTTCTGACCAAATAAACTATGTATTTTGCTACTCCAAAAATAAAATAGAAGTACCGGTAGTTTTATATAACATAGATGCGTACAAATACAAATACAGGTTGCTTGTTTGATCTAGCAACTGATTATCATAATAGTTGTAACTATTCTTTCTTGGAATAAGTTCCTAAATCTGTTGTAATGACAATCACAGTGTTTTGCAGACCGACTGACACATTTAGTATTGTATGAGTTAATGGCATAATAAATGCTACTCTTCCAACAAGAATATCTATCTATCTATCTATCTATCTATCTATCTATCTATCTATCTATCTATCTATCTATCTATCTATCTATCTATCTATCTATCTATCTATCTATCTTCTATTGAACTCCTAGGTCTGTTATGCCTCATTATAAATATCATTCTCCCTAGATTGCAAGCTTTTCATTTTTAGAGTACCAACAATTGCACCCTCTTCTTTCAAAGCGGCCAACATTTTGAGAAAACCTAAGAGAAAAAATGATCTCATTGGAGTCCTCAATGGGGCAATAGTTTCCATAAAGACAGCAACAGCCTCTTTCTTATTCTCTATTCAACTTTACAGACTCTGACACCGTTTGATTGCTCTGGCCTATAATTTAGCTGTTGGCTGCAGACTCAGAATATATTTTGAGAGGAGGAGGGGGTGGGAAGGGAAGAGAAGGTGAAAGCCAGCCCACTTGTAGCTGGAGAGAAAGAAACAAATTTGGAAAATAGAGGAGGAGGAGGAGGAGGAGAAAGCAAGCTCAGCCCAACCACCCTCGAAACAGTTTCCTGTTGCCATCCTCCAAGACACTTAGATTCCTTCAGACCCTTGAGAGAGACTGAAGTTTTCTCAGCTGCCCTGTCCTTGAGGTATGGCATCAAAACCTACTTTTCTGTTCTCTTTTATTTTATTTTTTTATTTATTCTTCATTTTTCTTCCTTTATCTGTTATTAAGCAAAGGAGTACTGACAGGGCCCAAAACTAATATCTGCATTTGAAGAATAGCCTAACAAGAATAGCATTGATGTGTAAGAATATTCAAGTGTTTTCTTGACGTTCTGTACTGTACTGCATGCTGTGCCTAACTTCTGTTTTGCTGCTAATTGTTTTTATTAATTGAATTAGTTTAATATAACATCCGTGTTTGGCAACAATTATCAGTGCTCTTTTCTACTTACTGAATAAATAGGGAAGAGAGTAAAGTTATTTTCAGGCCAATTGCTACCCTGTATCTAGGATGTTACAATTTATTGCCTCCTAATTAATTAGGACTGACACGTGGAATACATTCCCAGGTACTGAAGAATAAACTTGGCAAGTAAACCTTGTTTAGGACATTTGCTTGGGCTATATTTGCTTTTTGAAAAAGGAAGCGGGAAACATAATTTTCTACTTCCATCTTCATCTTTATTTCTTACTGTTTTATTGCAAAGCAGAATTTATTTCAATTTGTATATAGGCGAATCCAAAAGGAAGCATGCAATTCATTGCCTTTAAAATTAATTGCCTCAGCATTCGTTTCCTGACTTTACAGGACTACAGTAGAGAGAAGAATTAAATTGTTTCCCCTTTCCAGAAGAGTCCTTTATTCCCTCTCCTGCCCACCCATCCACCCACCCCGGGGAAAAAAGGGTTTTTGGCAATTCAGTGAAGTCAAATTGTGTTATTTTGAAATGTAAGTGTCATTCTTTTGCAATATAAAGAAGGAGGTTATGTTGTTTAGGGCATGCTATTCCCTTCCAGAGACAAAACATAAAAACAACAAATGCCACAGATTAAAAAAAAAACTATTCTGGAAGCATGGTAAATTGGACAAAAAAGAGTTGGGCAAATGCCTGTGCAGAGAGATGAAAGGAAATGCATGCAGAATACCATGAAACCCGTTTAGACAAAGCAATTGTGTGCCACATAGGCAGAGGCAGGAGACGTGGGGAAAGGGGAGGGAGGAAGAGATATCAACTTTTCACATTTTTGCCAAGCCCCACCCTCACGGGGAGAGAGAAAAAAAATCCCTTCTTTTCTCTGCTATGACTCTTCTACAATGGAATGTCGGCTCCCATGGAAACCCTTTCAGGGACTTCTGGTTCAAGAGATGCCCTGGCCTTTGTGACCACAGATGTGAAAGGAAAGCATGCATTCAGTTGGAGTGTTCTGTATCAAAGTTTTGACCCAAAATACTGCTGGTTTGCTATACGGCATCCAAAAGACAGGACACTTCAAGTTAATTAAAAGAAATTATTCTACCCCGTCTATTATTCAATCCAAAGTTTAATTTGTGTCAAGGGTCATCAAGACTCAGGTCCGAATCTGTGTCCCATACTTAGTATTTCACGCTTAGATTGTTTTTGAAATGGCATATTAAAAGAGCAAGGATTACACAAACACAAACTGTAATAGCTGGAATGATTATCCTTTAGTAGATAAAGAAACAAAGGGTAGAAGCACCATGCCTTTAATTTAGACTTCATTGTGCAGGTGGTGATTTAATAATACTGTATGGTCATTTTCTGCAACAGTAAGAAAGGTGCTAATAACTTTTCCAACTGTTTGTGAGATATAAGTGTGTGGTTTTTCATAGATAATGACAATCTAGGCTACCATCCAGTCCAAATTGTGGTTACTTTCCTAATTTTTGACAATGTTGGGACTGATAAAGGAGAATATTTGTAGCTCAGGATTGAAATGAGAAATGAGTGCTTTGTGCTCTATGAGCTTGGTTGTTCTCTTGCAGACATTTCATTATCCAAACTAGGTAACATCAATCTGCAAGAAAACAAACAAGTTCAGAGAGCACCAAGGACTTTTCAATGCTGGGACTTGACAGTAAGTCTGTTGAACAGCTGATTCTGCTTTTGTAGCATATGAAATGCATAAAATAACATAATGAAAATTATTTGGAACACTACAGTCAAATTAAGTCCCATCTTCCAGTACTGGATGTCTTAAGAGTACTTTTCACCCTCTAATGGTAAATCTGTGTGGGTCGTACCATTCAGTTTATAGGAGTGAAATTTTAGACACCGCTGGTGCTGCCAAATCATCCTTCTTTCCAAGAAATAGGACATCTCCCCAGAGGTCTTGTGATGATGCACAGATGACTGCTGGAACAATCTCTTTCTTCTTAGTGGGAGAGGCACTGGGAGAATAAATTCCTCCTGTCCCTTTTGCACAGCATGAGCAAGAAACTTTGACTGTAGCTTCTTCCCTGATGTCAGAAGCAGGGAAGATTGAATATGAACTGACATTACATGGCAATGTCAGAACGCCTGTCATAGCATTGACCAACCATACATATACATACATACATTCATACACACACACACACACACACACACACACACACACACACACACACACACACACATATATATATATATATATCTCACATTGAACATTCACTAAGGGCAATAGGTACACTCTAGTAGTTTTGGTCAGAAATGGCCATGCTGCATTTAAGCACACTGATTGCAGGGAAGAAGTAGGAGCCAGTGGGAAAACATATGTTAATTGATCCATAAGAGAGTGGTATACAACTTTTACTGAGACCAAGACTTAAGTTCTACTTTGAATTGTGCCCTGGAGTCAAATCAAAAGTTTGCTTAATAATTTCTGTCAATGAAAAATTACAATTGGATAAGAAATTGCTTGAGGCCCCTGGGAGCCACATTCAAGGTTTCGGGGGACAGGGACCAGCCTACCCTGTTAGATGGGAATTGGTTCTTACTCTCAGGTAAGAGCCACTGAAATATAACCTAGAATTATCAATGAACTTTCTTGGAGGGTTTGCTCATATCTATGGACCAGCTTGCTGTTAAAAGAGGAATGCTAGACCAAGATTGACAAGGCTGAGGTTCAGACTCCACCCACTCATGAGGGATGATTCAGCTTAAATTACCTCAAGATGTAAAGCAGGGGTGTCAAACTGCCGGCCCACAGGCCGGTTTCATCATACCGGAGCCGCGCCCATCCCATTGCTGGCAATGGCAAAAAAGCTCCGATACGTCGCGCAACGTCACATGACGTCGCGAGTTTGACACGTCTGATGTAAAGAATAAACTGGGACATTAGGGAGGCACAGTATACACTAGTATGAACTCCTGGAGAGAAAGAGGGATATGAATTATTTTTTACAAAATGCCAGCTAATATGGTTCCACATAATGCAACCCATTTGAACATTTTAAAGAAATCTTGGTCTAAATATACCAGGAAGAAATCCAAAGTATGTAAGAATAATGTGCATGGTAAAGCAGCACCAACGGTGGAATTTTAGAAGAGGATTGCTCCAAGGGGTTTAATTTATTTAAACTGAAAACAGGAGAGATCAAGTAAAGAGTGGGAAATGGATACATTTTTTTTCAGTTAAACTTTGGCTTTGACATTTAGATATGTTTGTTAGCGGTTTCACATGAAATTAGATTACATATCAGTTTTCCAATTTTGTCCTGAATGGCAAATGAAAGCATCTCCTTTTATATAATTAACAATGCAGCCCAGATTTATTCACAAGGGTCTGAGTTAATTCAACAATACATATTTTAGGGTATGTGTGGAAAACTGCAGCCCAAGCCTCTGGCTATAATGATGTACTTGCTTGTTACCAACAGACACAGCTAAAAGTAAAAACCTTTGGTGTATCACTGTGAATTTTCAAAAAATGTCCACATCAATATAGCTTCAAGTTGGGATCCTTTTAGATTTTTTCCAGTGCTGTATGTAATAACTAGTATGTAAAATATGCCACCTCTCACTAAAGAACAAGTCCATTTTGTCAGTGTTTTTCAATCAGAACGTTATCAATGCTTTACAGAATTATGCTGACTTTGAAAATAATTGTGCCCCTTATTACAGCCTTAAAAATTTTGCCCTGTTCCATTAAAATTGGTCTACAGCAAATACTACTGTAAATTCAAAGGCTGAATTTCTTCCATGATTTTAGGACTGTTAATTACATAAAGCTTGACTAAGATTCTGCCATTCTGCTGACATTTCTAGGCAATGGCCATAACAAGCTTTTTAAAGCTGGGGATTTCAGGCATTCCCCCTGCCTCTGAGAAACTCATAAGTTTAATAAAATAATATACAGGAGAAATTTGAGCTAGAGATTTTGTGACTCCAGCATGATTAGGAGATGAAAGAATGCAAAATAGGTTGTTCAAGATGTGTGCTAAAAAGCAGTTTTATAAGAAACAAAACTGGTAAAATCTAAATGGGTTCATTTCAATTTTATGTATTTTAAACCTAAAATCATATTCATACCTGGCCTAATTATACAGTTGATGGCATCTGAAATTCATTCCATCAGTTACGTATCCTGGAAATGAGGCAAAATTCTTGGCAATTCTTATTTTATGTTTATGGATTATGTATGATATATCTGTGATCCTATTCAATAAAGTATAGTTAACCAAAGTATAGTATGTGAATCCAGAGACCACATTTGATCCTTAAGTATAATACAATGGCTTAGTTACCTTTGTGTGGACTACTGCAATGCCTTTTAAATGCAGCTGCCCTTGAAGACCACTCAGTAGTTGGATGTGGTCTAGAATATGGTGCATGAAGAGTTGAATGGGCATGCTTCAGTTTGCCTATATAACAATGCTGTGCATACTGCACTCATTACCACCAGGCTTCCAGATGCTATTTAAGGTGCTGGTTATTACCTATAAAGCACTTCTTTGAATGGGGCCTAGTTATCTGAAGAATTATCTCTCATCCATGGTTTATAAGATCTGACAAATTAAGCATGTTCCTGTCTTTAAAACAATGCAAGCTGATGGGACCCTGTTTACCCTGTTATGGTACCTACACTGTGAAATAGCAACCCTCAAGTGGTTTGAGTGATCCCAACCCTGCTGTCTTTTAAA